GCTCTACAAACAAATGTTTGCATGACTATACAGACCAAGTAGAATAATATGATAAGGAAATATCGATTTGCAACATCAAACAGCGAAACGAGCTAAAATGTCTAAAAATGAATGGAAGTGAATGAGACCGGAAGTCTCGAGCCAAAAAGATTCAAATGGCAGCGCCCGCTCGGCGGCGAAGAATAAGTTGAATAATTTATCTCTGTCTATCAATATAATCGATCTATTTATCTATAATTCATAATTTTGCAAAAAAAAAAAAATTATGCGGAATGATTTTGAGAGTATAGTAACTAAAACTTTACACATAAAATGTAAGCATACATTAGTAAGTATAATATGTCTACTAAAAGTTTAGTTTAATTTGTTTAAAGTTTGACAGGACGGTATTGCAGCACAATTCCCTGAAATGCGTCAAACACACACTCAAAACAATATTTGACTAATATAAATACAAATATAAAGCATGATAAACAAACAAAGTAAAACAATAATTAAAAAAAAAACATCAAACACCACATTCACTCACTGGTCACTTTATTAGTTACACCTGTTCAACTGATCATTAACAAATTTCTAATCAGCCAATCACATGCTACTAACTCAATGTATTTAGGCATGTAGACATTGTCAAGATGCTGCTGCAGTTAACTGCTAATCTACTGGAATTTTCACGCACAACCATCTCTAGGGTTTACAGAGAATGGTCTGAAAAAAACAAAATATCCAGTGAGCGGCAGTTCTGTGGGTGCAAATGCCTTGTTGATGCCAGAGGTGAGAGGAGAATGGCCAGACGGGTTCCAGCTGATAAAAAGGCAACAGTAACTCAATAACCACTCGTTACAATCGAGGTATGCAGAAGAGTGTCTCTGAACGCTAAACACATCCAACCTTGAGGCGGATGGGCTACAGCAGCAGAAGACCACACCTGGTGCCACTCCTGTCTGCTAAGAACAGGAAACTGAGGCTACAATTGGCACAGGCTCACCAAAATTGGACAATAGAAAATTGGAAAAACGTTGCCTGGTCTGATGAGTCTCAATTTCTGCTGCGACATTCAGATAGTAGGATTAGAAATTGGCGCCAATAACATGAAAGCATGGATTCATCCTGTCTTGTATCAATGGTTCAGGCTGCTGGTTGTGGTGTAATGGTGTGGGGGATTTTTTCTTGGCACACTTTGGGCTCACTTGTACCAACTGAGCATTGTGTCAACGCCACAGCCTACATGAGTATTGTTGCTGACCATGTCCATTCCTTTATGACCACATAATCTTCTGATGGCTACTTCCAGCAGGATAACACACCATGTTATAAAGTGTGAATCATCCTAGACTGGTTTTTTAAACATGACAATGAGTTCACTGTACTCAAATGGCCTCCACAGTCACCAGAACTCAATCCAATAGAGCATTTTTGGTGGAACGAGAGATTCGCATCATGGATGTGCAGCTGAGAAATCGGCAGAAACTGTGTGACGCTATTATGCCAATATGGACCCTCATTTTGAAAAATATATATACTGTAGTATTACTATGGAAGTCAATAGGTTTAAGCTACCAGCATTCTTCAAAATATCTTCTTTTGTCTTCAACTCATTAAAGAATCTCAAAAAGGTTTTAAAACAACATGAGGGAGAATAAATTTTGGGTGAACTATCTCTTTAATAGCAGTGCATGAAACTCCCATAAAAAATGTTTGTCATGGTGTTCAACACGATGGAAGAATGTGAAATGCGCAAACTATTAAAAAACCCAAACATCATTTGATTCTTCTGTTTTGAAACCCTAGCTGGATAACATGAGGCCATATCCAGACTCGGGGCATGTCCAGAGATTGAACACTGTTTTTTATTTTTGAAGGCAGCACTGATGTTTCGTTCACTGCCTCTGATTTCCCACTATCCTGTTGTTTTGGCGTGTGCTTGAAAAGAATAAAAATGGCATCTGATGGAACAGGCTGTGAAAGATTCAATAAATAATTCATGAGAGAATTTTTCTCTTTTTGCAGCTCGATAATTCCAAAATGCATTGTAGTCCCCGAGACAAAAACAACAACAAAGCCAATCCTGACTGACTGGTTGGCTGCAGCAGCTTTGGACTCTGTGTTATTCTGCTGAGAAGTTGGTGGCCAAAATAAGAAGATCCTAAATAGATTAATCTGTTGATTAGCAGTTGATTATTTAGAAGGCATCTGTTCGGCCACCTCTGCTGAGCCTGATTGCCGGCGGCCCCCTGAGGCCCCGGTCAGCTCAGCGCGATCAGAAACCCTACCTGATCCCAGACAATTGATTTTTAATGAGACTTCAGCCATCAGTAATTCTGGCAGCAGCTGTGGCTCCGATCTGAACAGATGATAACTGGACTCCACCGAGCCGGCGCAGTTTGACCGAACAGCCAGTGATGGAGTGCTGTAGTCTGCCAGGAGCCGAGACCCCTGGAAATACATTCCTCAAGTCGGGCTAACCGGTACATGCCCTGCTGTATATGGGATTATGTACCTGGTGGTCCGAGAGTCACAATCAATCGAAGGAAAAGTCACTGAGATTTTTATATTTGTTCAGTCGGAGTACAGTAACATTTTAAGAGAAGCGCCTATTAATAATATAATAAATAAAATAAAAGTGCTTTATTTGTCTGTCCTCAAGGCTTTTTGATTAAAAAACAGAGCTGTAACTCTAGGACAAAACCTTTAGAGCAGGTCACTCACAGCACATATTATTGCATTCAGGAGCATATCCATAAATCTAGTAAATAGCCCATTGGGGTTGTCATGGTCTCGACTGGCCAGTCACGACCCAGAAAGTGGCACCCGCCTCTACTTGCAAGGGGACATGAAAACCAAGGTAAAACAATGACATGCAAGCAGATTATCAAATACCATTAGCCAAATAAGCTTAATGGATAGTTTTATTACCAAAACTAAAATATTTTCATCATAAGCAGAGTGTGTGTAAGGCTGGGGAAGGCTGGCCAGAGACCACGGAGATAGCAGCAAAGAAGAAAATGCAATTTTTGAAAACATGTAAAGGGTGTAAGGCGGAATATGAATGTAATGTTGATGACAACAGTACACTTTAGCTATTGTAAGTTTGTCAATCAAATTAAAGTCCCCCTTAGCACAATAATGGAACTGTCCAACTCAGCACCAAAGAGCACTGTTTTTGACTGGAGTTCACTGCAGCTCTGAAAACCAAACCAAAACTCCTGCTGGCCAGCGGACTTTTCTGATTTGCAGGTCAAGAACATAAGAAATAAAATGACAAATGAGTATTACGAGAGAGGTATAATAATATATTACACTGGTTTGACTTGTTTTCAGCATTAAATTGGTTGTTTCATTTATTGTAACGTAGTCTTGTCTGTAGTGTAGTAATCTTGTTTAGGCAATCATTTGGACTTTTACATTTCAAAGGTCAAATATTTACTGCTGAATTACACGTTCGGTTGTCAATTGGCCTCATGAAAAAAATAATTCTTGACAGATTTTTGCAATTTAACAACAAAGAAAATATCAACACTTCTAATGCCAGGTCTAAAGGAGGATTTTGCTGCATAGGGTAGGACAGTGGCTAATTTTTATATTGACTGCCATGCCAAACACATTTTTGTTTGTTAGACAAAAGGCTACCATTAATAGATAAAATAATAGAATTAATATAATATAATATATACAATTTATGTTATTATTCTTCTTCTTATTATTATTATTATTATTATTATTATTATTATTATAACATACACTACCGGGCAAAAGTTTGGGGTTAGTAAGATTTTTAAAATGTTTTAAAATAAGTTTCTCCTGCTCACCAAAACTGCATTTATTTAATCAAAAATACAGGAGAAATGGTAAAATTGTGAAATGTTATTGCGCTATAAAATAACTGTTTAAAAGTAGTTTATGATTTCATTTATTCCAGTGACTTTAATGATGAATTTTTAGCTTTATTACTTTGGTCTTCAGAGTCACATGATCCTTCAGAAATCGCTCTAATATTAAATATTATTATTGTTATTATTAATGGTAATAGTAATAAAAGAAACAGGTAGTAATCATTTTACTCAAAACTGCATAAAGTAAGTAATAAATAAATATTTAAAAAATAAGTATTTAACAATTGTTTTTAAAATATAATAAATTATATATTTATTAATTAATTATATAATTAAATTATTAAATAAAATTAATAAGAAGAAAATAAATAACTGACCCCAAACTTTTGACCGGTAGTGTAGATCAGTGGGTGAGTTTAATAAAATAACTTGATGTACGTGTTGAATATAATAGAATTTTTGGTCGGTTGCAAATCTTTTTAAATGCATTAAAGGTCAGCGCATATATTAGCCTTACCCTGGAGTTTGTTAACCCTCTGTTTATGATTTTCGTTGTTAGCATCACACGCTGTTTCAATTCAAACTCTGTAATATAAAAAAGTGCTGTGGAATCTTTTTCATCATGTGTATTGATGCTGATTCTGCATCGATGCATAAAAATATTTTTAAACTGATTAATTAGGCCTGCTATACATAAAACAATGTGTGGTTTTATTGTCAAAAAATCCACTGTGTAGAACATATGCCGCAATAGTTGGCAGTTCATTCCACTGTGGTGAGTCCTTATAAATAAGGGACTAAGCAAAAGAAAATGTTTCTAATATTAATTAGAAAATTCAGTGTTTGATTACATTTTAATTACAGCAGTGGGGTCAAACTCAATTCCTGGGGGGCCGAAGCCCTGCACAGTTTAGTTCCAACCCTGCTCCAACACACTTACCTGTAGGTTTCAAACAAGCCTGAAGAACTCAATTAGTTTGATCAGGTGTGTTTAATTAGGGTTGGAACTAAACTGTGCAGAGCTGCGGCCCTTTTGGAACTGAGTTTGACACCTGTGAATTACAGTGTTAGAAACATTTAAAGCATAGTATTGAGTGTTGATTTGTTCTTCTCTTTATCCGTGCGCTTCACAATTAACGTTACAAATATCTCGTCTTTCTCTTCCAGCTGTCTCTGAAGTGCAGGGCTCCAGAGGTTTCTCAGTACGTGTACCAGATGTACGATGCCACTCTGAAGAACTGAGCGTCTCTCTTGTCCTTTTTCTTCCTCTACACACACCTCTTCTTCCCCAGCCGCCGCCACCACCGGCATAGAATCCTGCTCTCCAATGATTTTCTGCCGTTGTTTTCCATCCATAGGTACCAGTTTTACTCGATGTGCCCTGCAAAGTTCTGTTCTTGCCAAATGTCTCGATGTGGTTGAAAAAAAGTGGGGATTTGGCAACACAGTTCCCATGTGATTTCTATCGTTCTTTTCAATTGTTTGAATGCGTTCACCTTCACATGCCATTATCATGTACGAACAGGAAAAAAACGTGCGTGGAATATTTAGAAACGTAATGCGAGTGTATTTTCATTTCAAGAGCACTATATCCCGATGTTAGCCAAAATGAAAACGCTTAATAGTACATGCTAACTATCTGATAGTAGCCTCGCATGCTTTTTGACCAACATAAAAAAATATCACATTCCTTTTTTTAACATTTCGTGTAATCGTTCACCAACATGTCAACACTCCATCAACGTCTCCGATGGTTTCAACTGCTATAAATCAACCTAACGTGAAGCAGAAAACCGACTTTCTATCAATTGATCTTGTGTAAGTGGGTCATCTGATATTCATTCCCAGATTGAGTCCATTCATTTGTGATATATCGTGCTTGTGAGATTTGTGCATTAATATTTTAGTCCCTTTGGTGTAACGTTCTACATTAATACATAAAGCATCGCTCAGCTTTTGGTTTAAAACTAATACACTAATGTAGGGATGCAATATATTCTAAATAGACATCAATAATATCCGATGAAATAGATGGATCACTTTATTAGTCTTTCAGGTGGTGCTGGTGATTTAAATGTGAATGTTTTGTTGCTAATGTGCCTGTGTGAACCTGCATGTGAGCAGCGTCTAATAAACATCTGCCAGTAGAACCCTTGTGTAATAAGGTGGAGTATTAATAGGGTAACCTTTATATGTGCAAAATGTTGAGTTTTAATGAAAAACATTTCTATTGTCAGTCAGATCATCCTGGTATTGAAATGCAACAAAAAAATAAAGTCTGATAATTTTTTCCATGATTTATTTTATGGATCGTTATGATTCCGAATAAAGTCAGCAGTGTTGGCCTCCCCAAAATGATGTTTGTCGTTCTGTAATACGTGCAAATTTCGCAAATTCTTTTAAAGGGTCACGAAACACCAAAACACATGTTTTGAGCTGGTGACAGTCGTATATGTGTCCCACACTGCTAAAAACACTATTAGGACACCTATATTTCACTAAAAAGTGTAAATTGGTTGTTTTTGCGTTATTTCAAGCAAATTCGTACTTCCTGTTTGAAACGAATTTTTAAAGCTGCGTCACGGTCATGACATAATAGCGTTGTATTCCAGCGTGCAGACTGGACGTCTGTGCCAGAGTGAGTCTTATTACGTCTTACAGCCTGCTGCATTAATGCATGAGTAAGGCTTGGTTCAAACCAATCAGCGCGCTCTATTGTGCAACTTCATTAATATTCATTTCTGTGTTTACACGACATGGACGCATCGTTGTGTTGGCAAAACAAGCGTGAAGTGTTGTTTTATAGTTTGCTGCCGTTAAGTTTCGTTTTCTTTTTCTCTCTGTGAGAGCTCAGACTCACGTGTGGATTAACAGTGTACGCGACGCTCGACAACAATAACTTACGTGTCTAAGAAGGATTATTGTTTACCTGAGAGCTGTTCTCATCTGCAAACGCTGAGATCGGATACGCTTGTAGTATTCTCTTCATTAAGACGCTGCTCTAGTTGCTGTGGATTGTCCTGTCTCTACAGATTTGGTAAGTGAGCGACCAGTGCTCTTTGTTTATTCAGTTTGTTCGTATCGAACTAGGTTAACTATTGCACCGTAACATGTTAGGACCACAACCAAACTTTAACCTCGTGTAGGGTTTTTAACCGCATTTAGCGACCGGAATAACACACGCGGCTTTCTGACACTACCTGCCGTGTGCATCTAAGTTTCCGGAAAATGCTGAGGTTTTTTTTCTCTCATTCGCCGTGCGGTATCAAACATTGCATGAAAAATACACGCTTAGAGCAGTTCCTCGAATCAAATATCTCGTGTGTCGCGAGGGGCATGAATGAATTCCCTGAATGAAAGAGCCAAACTGCAGTTAAAGTCCACCATTTAATAATTTGGCAAATAATTCCACTACAGATGTCCATGTAGCTTAAACACCATCACTTTCTCCTGTGTGTGAGTATTTTGACTGAAACTCGCGCGTGCCCATATAGACACTCCCACACCCTCCCACTTTAGTTCCTCCGACACTCCCCCCTAAACAGAGCTGGACACGCCCACTTTTCTGACTTTTTCCAAAGTAGAGGTGTGAAAACACCCTGCTGAAACGAGGGGGTTTCATGGCCCTTTAACAAACTGTAGTATTAAATTTGTCTTTATACATTCAGAAATCATTTTCGCTTTTGTGACAACATGGCAAAATCAACAAGCCAGAATCACCAAAAAAAAAAAAAGCCAGATTACAATTTGCTAATTTACATTGAGACAAAGACTAAATTTTGGAGACACGTCCTGTGGTCTGACGGAACTAAGATTGAACTCTTTGGCCATAATGACCAGTGTTACATTTGGAGGACAAAGGGGAAAGCTCACAAGCCTAGGAACACCATCCCAACTGTGAAGTATGGGGGCGGCCGCATCATGTTGTGGGGCTGTTTTGCTGTAGGAGGGACTGGTCCACTTCACAGCATAGATGTCATCATGAAGAAAGAACATTATGTAGAAATACTGAAGCAACATCTCAAGGTATCAGCGAGGAAATTAAAACTTGGCCACAAATGGGTCTTCCAAACAGACCATGACCCTAAGCACACTGCCGAATTAGTTAAAATGTGCTTTAAGGACAACAGAGTGAATTTTTTAGAGCGGCCATCACAAAGCCCTGATCTCAATCCTATAGAAAATTTGTGGGCAGAGTTGAAAAAGCTTGTGCGAGCAAGACAGCCAACAAATCTGACTCAGTTACACCAATTCTGTCAGGAGGAACGGGCCAAAATTCCTTTGAACTATTTTGAGAAGCTTGTGGAAGCATATCCAAAACATTTGACCAGAGTTATACAGTTTAAAAGCAAAGCCAAAAAAAAAGAGCAAGGAAATGTAAGTAAACTTTCGACTGTCTAGAAATTGAGAAATTCTCAAAAAAAAAAATCTTTCATTATTCTGGCATTTAGCAAATGTAAATGATTTAGGTAATTCTAACTGACCTAAAACATTAAACATTTAGTATGATTTACCATCCGACATTTAAAAAAAAAATTATTATGTTCCATTTTTTAGAGTGTATGTAAACTTCTGGTTTCAACTGTATCTAACACAAGTGTTGTTTATAGGGGGCCTTACTACATCGACAGCAGCATTGATTTAAATGTGTTTGAGCAAGTCTGTGATGGTATGATGTGTTCGCTCAGAGCTGGACATGACGCAGGCGTATCGTAATCACTCAGGTCTGCAATAGTGCTGAACTGAATACTGAACAGCTCTTCTACCTTGTGCACTCTAAAAAGATTTATGAGAGCATTCGAGGTGCAGTTTTGAGATCCATTTGAGCAATTTCTAATGGTGTACGCTCTACTTACTTGTGTACTTACGGGTCATACTGGAGTCTTCGGGTGTTGTGCATCATTTCTCCTATAGCTGTGCTTTTCCCCCCAGATGCTCACAACAAAAGAGCTTGTTGCTTGTAGAGTTTGAACACATCTAGAGACCCATCCATCCAGTCCAAGTGCTTCTTAACTCACTGAAGAGCAAAAATAATATGAGGCTCCAACAAGACTTTTTCAATTCAGATAAGACATGTAATTGAAAAGCATTTAAAAAAATATTCAAGAGCTATTGCGTCTCATTTACTAATAATTATGTACATTTGTCTTATATTTATTGGCACATTTGAACTTTTTTAACTGTCCAATTGAGGGACTTACACCACAAGTAGTTAGGGCTTAGGGTTGGTATCCAGTGCATCTGGAAAGTATTCATAGCGCTTCACTTTAAAAAAAAAAAAAATTATGTCACAGCCTTATTTCAAAATTAATTAAATTCATTTATTTACTCAAAATCCTACACACAATAGCCCGTAATGACAATGGGAAAAAAGTTTTTTTTTAATTGTTGCAAATTAATTAAAAATCAAAAACCTGAAAAATCAGATGTACATCAGTATTCACAGTCTTTGCCCTGAAGCTCTAAATTGAGCTCAGCTACATTCTGTCTCCACTGATCATTCTTGAGATGTTTCAGCAGCTTAATTGGAGTTCACCTGTGGTCAATTCATTTGATCGGACATGATTTGAAAAGGCATACACCCTGCTATATAAGCTCCCAGGGTTGACAGTGCATGTTAAAGAACAAACCAAGCATGAAGACAAAGGAATTGTCTGTAGACCTCAGATGCAGGATTGTCTCGAAGCACAAGGCTGTGGAAGGTTACAGAAAAATTTCTGCTGCTCTGATAGTTTCAATGAGCACAGCGGCCTCTATCATCCATAAGTGGATCAAGTTTGGAACCACCAGGGGCCTCATGTACGAAGACTTGCGTGGAAATCTTACTAAAACATTGCGTACGCACAAAGCTGTAAATGTGCGTACGCAGAAAAAAATTCAGATGTATGAAACACTGCGTACGCCGAATCTCACGCATATTCTTTTGTACATCTGAATGAACGTGAAACTGAGCGCAACATGCACGAGCACAAAACCCCTCCCTGCCTCCTCCCCCGTATGAATATGCTAATGACTATGCTAATGGAAAAACCCAACGAAAAACCCAAAGAAAAAGCAATGGCAAAATCAAACAAGAAGAGAAACTTTGAACAGAATGTGAATTGGAGGTGCTGCTTTCGGAGGTAGACCGGAGAAAAGCGGTGTTATTTGCAAGTTTGTTCTCCGGAATTAACAACAAAAGAAAAAAATAGAGTGGGAGAGTTTAGCTGATACGGTTAACTCAGTTGGGTCTGAACATCGCACTGAGTGCATTTAAAAAAAGAAATAGTGTGGTTTATAGGTGTAAAATGTTGCAGTACCCTTAACAGTCTCAGTGGCGCACCTCATAAGAAGCATGTGATCATGTACTGACACGTTCGAGCATAAACTCGGCTCGAATCCAGCGTCTGATGAACTCTTTCTTCTTTTTTTCCCCGCTACATATCAGATTTTGCCCACAATTTATCACGAGAAAGACAAGTAGGAATCATCAATAAGTTTGTGCATCATATTTTATTTGCACATTTATTGAATGGAAATGTTTCTGATTCACGCATGCAAATTCATCTTCAGATAGTGTCTTTATAGCAATGTGCGTGCGGTAGATAGCTCAGATTACATTGGGAAAACAGGCGACCGCTGCAAATTGTGCTTTAATGTTTAGCTGGTCAAATGTATGGTATGGAAATCTTACATACCTACTACATGAACCCGTCTCATACAGCTGCCATTGCAAGGCTCAGACACTTTGTAGAGAGGAATTTAACACAACTGCCTCTAGGAGTCGCCAATGGAAATAAAACAGACACGCACAAAAAATGTGCGTACGCCTGCCAGAAAGCTGCCGTGAACCTGCGCACATTCCCACGTTCAGTTCATTGTTAGTAAATCCAAACGTGAGCGATTCTGAGCGTGAAACTTGGCGTACGCAAAGTTTTTGTGCGTACGCAGCGTTGATACATGAGGCCCCAGGACTCTTCCTAGAGCTGGCCGGCCATCTAAGCTGAGTGATCGGGGGAGAAGCGCCTTAGTCAGTGAGGTAATCAATAACCCGATGGTCACTCTGTCTGAGCTCCAGTGTTCTTCTGTGGAGAGAGGAGAACCTTACAGAAGGACAACCATCTGTGCAGCAATCCACCAATCAGGCCTGTATGGCAGAGTGACGAGACGGAAGCCACTCCCTGCCTGGAATTTGCCAAAAGGCATCTGAAGGACTCTCAGACCATAAGAAACTAAATTCTCTAGTCTGATGAGAATAAAATTAAACTCTTTCAAGTGAATGCCGGGCGTTACGTTTGGAGAAAACCAGGCACCGCTCATCACCAGGCTAATAGCATCCCTACAGTAAAGCATGGGGGTGGCAGCATCATGCTGAG